ATATTTACGTTTACTACATTTTCAGATTCAAGTAATGCATTACTAGATCAATGGAGTGCATTATCATTTCACCGTGTTGCAAAAATAATAAAATTGATGGGTATAATTGAATATTTGATGTGTTTTGCTAATTTCACTAGTTTATGATGTTTTTTCAGTTGTTTCAATTTACATGAGTTGTATATTGTTTCCCCTTTCTTTTTAAATACTTTTGCACATGAACTGTTTGTGAAAATGCCCAAAGAAAACCAAGTGCAATTTAAAACTACGACGAATAGTAGTTGAATGAAAGTATTTTTCATGTGTAAATGCATAACATACGCTCTTGATATGCATGTCAAAGTATACAAGATGCGTTATACACATTGAAAATGAAAAACAAAGAGCATTTTTAAAATTAAAATAATGCATTTGCAGATCAGAGTGTCGCATAAAGGATGAATCGGAGGGGTACTCTAATTTATTATTCAATGTGTTCATGTCCATTAAAGTGACATTGTGCTACTTCTTGTGTTTTCAATTAGTGTGAGCTATGCTTCAATTGCATTAGTTGTCTTTTGTTGTCCATTCAAAGTTTCTTTTATTATAAATTTGTGTTCTTGTGCAAGATATAGAGGAATCTATGAAAAAACGAATTGATGCCTATTAGCTCAAATGGTAGAGCGGTATGTAGTACGGATGTAGGTTCGAATCCTACATAGGCAAATGTATTTTCAAATTTATTTTACACTTTCTCAAAAGTCGCTGCTTATATAGATTTCAAATTTGGGGCTTATTTGCTTCTATTATGAATATATGTATTTTTGGCTTTTGCTTTGTTTTGATTGTGCCTGATAGCTATTTGTAAATGTATAGTTGGAGTTGCAAGTGTAGGAATGGGCAGCAGGGTCTTCAGTTTTTCAATATGTTGTCATAAGAGCTTAACCAACAAGCTGATGACTTGTTTATGTTACTCTGCAATGCAGACTAACGCTAATGCATTCTAAGATCAACACAATGCATTTTCAAATCACAGTGCCTATTTTCTCCATTGAATTTCTTACAACACAATGACATCAAATTAGATTAAATATAATATATTCCATGACTTTCCCATCACATAAGATATTTAATTAAATTAGGTCAAATTAGATTAAATATAATGCATTTCAGTATTTATCATCACATATAAACTCCCTCATGAGTCATTATTCACCAATCCCAGTAAATAAATAAAATTTTTATAATATTTAAAGTACAAGTCCCAATACATATATCATTCATCATAGTGCATGCGTAATTTACAATACGTACTGCAGCTATGAATGAGAACAATGCATACAATTTAAAAACCATCACATGAGGAGCAAAAGTGTTCATAAAATTGAATAGTTTTTAGAAGAAAGGAAAAAATTATAAATCTCATATTTTTTGTTTTCAAAAATGTTAATGAAAAAACTAAATCCCTTGCACAAAGAGATATAAATTAAAATAAAGCAAAAAAGAAACAAAATATTACAAAGAGTTCCATAGCAAAAATCATTTATTATATATTGATTTTTATTGAAAAAACTGGTTCACAAATTAAAAAAGGAATAAAATAAGAAACCATTAACATGACAACAACTCATGTGAATGATGATGAAAGTCACGTGTACGATGCATTACAACCCCCGATGCATTTTTGACAACCCCCGATGCATCAATGACCTGCTATGGGTTGTGTTGCACTATTTGTAAAAAAAATAAATGGAATAGGTGGATCACATATGGTAAGCGCGAGAAAAGGGGTATCCGGATTATTTCCCTGCATATCGTGTTTCTTTATTTACATGGATATGACTTTTATGCCCCTCATAACTAATTTTTCCTAATTTGTAGCATTCCCATTATTACTTTACTTATTAAATTAGTTAATTCATTTATTTCAATTGATGGATCGTGTCCATCAAATGCATCAAATCAAACGGTCCATATCTATTCTTATTTCTTTCACCAAGCATCTTTCTCATAGGAACCAACCCCTATATATATATATATATATATATATATATATATATATATATATATATATATATATATATATAGATAGATAGATAGAATAACGGAATAATAGAATTACTCAAGCAATACGTACGGTTCGATACAATATATATAGAGATAGTGGGCTAGGGTTAGATAATTATATAAGAGCCCAATAATATAACATAATTATATATACTATCTAACATCCCCCCTCAAGCTGAGTTTTGCGGTAGCAAGAGGAAGCTTGGATATAAGGAAGTGAAAACGCTGTGACGTTAACGGCTTGGTGAGAAAATCAGCCAATTGATGCTCAGAGGAGATATGCTCAGCAATCATGGACCCATCGATGATTTGTTCACGAACAAAGTGACAATCTGTTCCAACATGTTTCATCTTTTTATGAAACACAGGGTTCTTTGTGAGGCAAATGGCAGACTGATTGTCACAATAAAGGACCGGTGGTGGAGTGGCTATATGCAAGTCGGTCAGAATGTAAGTAAGCCACATTACTTTCGATGCTGCAGTAGAAAGTGCTCTATATTCGGCTTCAGTAGAGGACTTTGATACCCTTGTTTGCTTCTCTGTACTCCAGGAGACAAGATTATTGCCAAGATAAATGAGATACTCGGTGGTAGAGCGACTGTCCTGAGGATCATTAGCCCAATCGGAGTCAGAATAGCCACGTAGACGCATATCCCCCCTGCCGAACACAAGACCCTGTGAGATGGTACCCTTGACATAGCGCAGAAGCCGTTTTAACGTATGAAAATCCTTCTCTGTGGGACTGTGCATCTTTTGGGCCACAAAGTTGACAGCAAATTGGATATCTGGCCTGGTAACAGTGAGATACTGAAGACCCCCAACCAAGCTGCGAAAAAGACGAGGATTATGGAAAGGAACATTCACGCCATCTGCGGAGGAACTGGGACTGATCGGCGTGGGCACTGGTTTTGCAGTGTCAACACCCGCACGATGAAGTAGCTCACTAGCATACTTAGTCTGATGGAGAAGGAGACGATCACCGATGTGTTGCACTTCAAGGCCAAGAAAGTACTGAAGAGGTCCAAGATCCTTCATTTGAAATTCATGCTGCATACTTCGGATAAAACCCTGAATAAGAGAGGAAGAGGAGCCAGTAATGACAATATCATCAACATATAACAACAAGATGAGAGATCCCTGTGAAGAGTGCTTGATAAACAAGCTAGTGTCATGAGTGGTAGTAATAAACCCCTGTGTTGTCAAAAAAGAAGTGAGCCGTAGATACCATGCCCGAGGAGCTTGCTTAAGGCCATATAATGCTTTTACTAACTTGCAAACATGATGAGGATGGCGCTGATCTATATATCCCGGAGGCTGAGTCATGTATATCTCATCCTGCAACTCACCATGCAAAAAAGCATTAGAAACATCAAGGTGGTGAAGAGGCCAACGATAGTGCATCGCAATAGAGAGGACAACACGAATGGTTTGCTGTTTAACCACAGGACTAAAAGTCTCAGAGTAGTCCAGGCCATATTCCTGATCATAACCCTTAGCCACAAGGCGTGCTTTGTAGCGAGAAATAGAGCCATCAGAGTTGCGCTTTATGCGATAAACCCACTTGCATCCAATAGGGAAACGGTCGGGAGGAGATGGGACCAATACCCAAGTACCCTGTCTCTGTAACGCCTCAAATTCATCATCCATAGCCTGACACCAATATCTGTTTTGGGAGGCTTGTTTGTAGGAAGTGGGTTCTGTTTGCGGGGGTTCATCATAGGGAATGGTGGAAGAATATATTTTGGGTTTAAAAATGCCACTTTTGGAACGAGTGGTCATCGGATGTGAGGGAATAGGTGATGGGTCCGGGTTGGCCGTAGATGATACGGTGGCAGTGGGGTTATGGGCTTCGGCCGAGGGGTGATCGGGGATAGCAGAGGGGATGTCCACGTGGATCATTGGCACAGGTGATGCGGTGGGAGTGGGGACGGTAGCGGTAGAGGAGGTAGGTATAGGGTGAAGGGTGGTGGGAGGGTCGGGTAGGATAGGAATAGGTTGAGGATGCAGAGGGTCGTGAGCAGGACTTTGGGATGCACGAGAGAACCCCGGAAAGAGGGGTAAGACACCAAAGAAAGTAGTAGACGCAGGATGAGTTGTAAGTGTGGGAGAGGACACGGGTAAGGCTCTATATGAAAATTGTGACTCATGGAAACGAACGTGACGAGTAACATAGACGCGATGAGTGTCAGGGTCAAGGAAACGATAGCCCTTGGTATGAGGCTCGTAGCCAACAAAGACACAGGGTTTCGAACGTGGCTGGAGTTTATGATCAACCTCATGACGAAGATGAGGATATGCAAGGCAGCCGAAGACACGGAGATAAGAGTAATCAGGGCGATGTCCATAGAGTTTCTCAAAGGGAGAAACATTCGCAAGCGATTTTTTGGGAAGACGATTGATTAAAAAATTTGCAGTGGCTAGTGCCTCAGTCCAAAAAATTACAGGTAAGTGAGCGGTGTGAAGAAGTGTGATTACAGTCTCAATAAGATGACGGTGCTTGCGCTCTGCAACCCCATTTTGTTCTGGAGTGTAGGGACACGTTTTTTGGTGTAAAATGCCAAGGCGTTGGAGGAACATTCCAAATTTTTTGTTTACATATTCACGACCATTATCAGTGCGAAAAAGTTTTATAGTAGAACCAAACTGATTTTGCACCATGAATTGAAAACTTTGGAATGCTCCAAACGCGTCAGATTTTTGTTTAAGAGGATATAACCATGAAAATTTGGTAAAATCATCAATAAAACTAATGTAGTAAGAATAACCACTAAAGGAAGGGACACTGGTGGGACCCCAAACATCGGAATGACTTAATTGAAAAGGAACAGTTGCAGCAGTATACGAGAATGAAAAAGGCAGTTTATGTGACTTAGACACTGAACAAGAATCACAGTGAGGTACATCAGAAAATGAAAAACCTAAAAATGAAAGTAGACACTTGGTAACTGACATAGAAGGGTGCCCCAAACGACGATGCCAATCCTGAGATGTAAGAATGGCAGACCGCACGGACGGAGACGACTCAAGGGTGGGAGACGCTTGATAATTGGAGGGTAACATATAAAGTCCTTGCTCACAACGGCCTCTGTATCTCACCTTGTGGGTTTTGTTGTCCAGGATCTGAAATTCATTGGAGTTAAAAAGAAGAGTGCAGTTGTTATCCTTGGTAAAACGATGAACAAAAAGTAAATGGGATGTAAGAGAGGGAACATGGAGAAGGTTACCAAGATGAAAGATGCCAGAGGCAGTGGGTATTTTACCTGAGCCAACATGAGCAATGGGTAGCGGATGACCACCTGCACTAGTCACAGAGTCGGTGCCAGAGTATGGTGTGTAAGAATAGAGGCGAGACAGATCCGGTGTGACATGGGTATTAGCGCCAGTGTCCAAGAACCAATTTCCATTGGAGGAAGTAGATTGAGACGCATAAAACGCTTGAGGTGATGGAGAGGGCGGTCCACTGTACTACGAATCAAAACGATGCCAACAGTCCCAGGCTGCATGATTAAATTTTCCACAGATTTGACAAATGATGGAGTCACGAGAAGCTCCTCGGCCAGACTGCCCTCCTCGGCCTGAGTGAGCTCCACGCCCACGGCCTAAGCTAACACGGCTAGGCTGTCCTCCACGTCCAGAAAAACCACCACGTCCGCGGTAAAAACCACGGCCACGTCCACGTCCACCAGAAGATTGTGTATATAGGGCTGTATGAGAATCAGAGATAATCGGACTATCCCGGAGTTGAAGTTTTTGCTCCATCTGTAGATTAAGCTCTTCGGCCAATAACCAAGAGGATACCTGTGCGAAAGTAACATTGGCAATATTGGTCCGAATATTTTGTTTGATAGAAGCATACTCGGACGGCAATCCACGAAGAACACCCAATATCACATCATGTTCAGGGACAGCAGCTTTGGCCCGATCAAGAGCAGCGACAATGTTGGTGACAGAATCAAGATATTGTTGCATAGAATCCGAGCCTTTCTGAACATTATGAAGCTGTTCTTTTAATTGGAAAATATGCGTGCGAGAAAGAGAGTTATACCGGAGTTGAAGATGATCCCATATAGTCGTAGCAGTGTCAAGACCATGAAGGTGAGTTTGCACAGACGGACTAATAATAGCAAGCAAACAGGCGCATAATTGAGCGTTGATAACTGACCAAACCTCATATGCAGGGTTGGGAACCACGCTGGCAGAGGCATCCTTGTCGCCGGCGGCAGGGATGGTGGGTGGAGGCGCTGTGATCGTACCATCTACGTAACCCAGGAGGCGATGAGCAGGCAGATTTGCTGAAGTTGTAGCGATCCACGAAGGAAAATTTGTATCATTCAGCTTTTCCGGAGAGAGAGAATGGAGATTTTTAATAAAAAGCTTCAACCCGGTTGGAAGAGCATCAAGGGGATCAGTTGATTTGGCCATGAAAGAGAGCAATAGTAGGCTGGCAGAGATGAATCGAAGAGGAAGAGCCGAAGTTGACGATCGGCAGTGAAGAGGAAAGGAAGCTCGACGATCGGCAGAGAAGGAAGGGCCAAAGTCGGCTAGGGCTAGGATTTATTTTTGTGTGTGTAAAGCCTCAGCTTTGATACCATGATAGAATAACGGAATAATAGAATTACTCAAGCAATACGTACGGTTCGATACAATATATATAGAGATAGTGGGCTAGGGTTAGATAATTATATAAGAGCCCAATAATATAACATAATTATATATACTATCTAACATATATATATATATATATATATATATATATATATATATATATATATATGGAGATATTAATGGTCAAAGTATTGTATCAGAGACAATAAAATGTCAAATGAGAAGCTAATTTGAGGATGAAGGAAGTAATCCATGTTTATTTATCATCGGTTGTCGGGTTATGCTATTGCAATTTTCGTATCTGCTCATGATTGGTTTTTTTTTCTTTCTACTAAGTTCAATGCATATAATCATTTTTTTGTACCTAGATCCACAAATTAAAGGCCTTAGGACCATAAAGAATTTGTCCTGATTGTCACATACAATGCAAAATGTGTCATTGTTGAAATTACACAATTACGGAGTATTATTTACTACCTTTGTCCCATTTTAAATTGTTTATTTTCTTTTTTTTCTTCGTCCCAAAATAAGTTGCTTTTTCATGTTATCATGAACTTTTAAGGGTAAAATACCTAAACTATTCCTAAAATAAGTCACTCTTCTCTACCTTATCTTCTCATTCATTGTCATCCGTCCTAAAAAGTAATAGTTATTTAGGAAAGTCAATTCAATTTTTTTCTCTTTCTTAAATATGCCCCAAAGTCAAAAACGGGACAGAGGGAGTAAGTTAGAAACTCATCACCCTTAATATTATGGATGACAATCATCTTTGAATTTATGCACATATACGTTAATCGTCTATGAAAATACAAATTCCATAGGTCACGTGTGGAGTCTTGTAACAAGAACGCCATTAAACTATTCATTTTTGTCAAAAATGTCATTGCATTTTATTTTTTTTTAACAATATTGTTGAAATCTCTAAAATGTGAAAAAGTGCTACTCAAGTTTTATGTTTGGTAAAAAGTACCAATCCCTAATTTTACTTTCACTAAGGTTATTGAACTTTTATAAAATGTTAAAAAATACCACTCAAATATTTTTAAATAAAGACACTGCTTTCTAATGGGCAATGACTTCGTTCCTTTTCTCTAATTGTATACTCCATCCGTCCTTATTTTAATTACAAATTGCGGAAAATCAAGAAAAAATTATTAGTTTTTTAATTCATTTTATCTAAAGATGAGGCATAACTAAAAAATAAAACTTACATAATTAAAAACTACATCAAAATATTTACAAAACAAGAGATGACAAGAATATTTTATTTTATCAAATAAATAATAAAATATACAAATGAACAAAAAATTGGTGCTTTTAGAATAGCAAACATTGTACTCAATTATAGGAGGGAAGGAGTTGATTTTATAAAGTTTTCTTATTTGTTTTTGTGTGCTTCAACAGTGCATCTAGGTCCACAAGAATTAATTATTTTATGAAATAGTTTTGTAATACTTCTATGGCCCCGTTTGGCATCAGCGTCAGAGATTAGCGTTTTGAAAAAGCTATCCGACGGTAGTCTTTAGCATTAGCGTTTTTAGAATTAATCTGCACCGTTAAAATTTTATCCAAAACGCTAACGCTAATCAAAAAAGCTGTTACCAAACAAAGCCTATGTCTCAAACTAATTTTCTTGTTTAGGTTTGGAAAGCATTAAAAAAGTGAAATTGGTGGGTAAAATTGATGCACATGGGAGAGAAAGGTGATGAGTCACGCAAATTTTTTTCAAAAAAAAAAAACCTCTGTTAGCCTATTTAGATAAGAGTATAATACGTCTATTCGTACGTTCGTGTATAAAACAGATCACTTTGTTAAAATATGTCTTTTTATATGTTGTATACGTTCAGAGTACGTATACAAATATGTTTGCAAATTAACGTTTGATTTTTTAAAAATATGGCTTACAATGGATGCATATATTTTGAATAAGAAAGACATTTTAAACTTTGAAATTGAATACAAATACACCATAAAAATTCTAAAAAATCAATTAATACCATGATTTATTATTTATTCATTTTTTTCATGTTTATCCAAAAGAGATCTTTCAATCTAGTTTTTATTTTGTACTTCCACAAAATGTATTAAAAAAAAGAGCATATTCTTAAAAATTAAGCAAACATTTAGACAGCATTAGAGCATTTGAGAGTTGAGACATGAAAAAAAGTATACTTCTTCCGTTCAAAATGTAAACAACAATTACTATTTCGGCATTTCAAAAATTTTTGTTTGTTTACTCGTTTTGGTTGATCATTTGATAAAATAAAATTTTCTTATCGCATCATATTTTGTAAAACTTTTGATCTATCTTAAATAGTGTGATTTTTACTTTTTATTTCTCTACTAATTTGTAAATAAAGTAATTTTTAAAAGAGATCACATTTTACACGTTGTTTGAAATGTTGCTTATATTTTGGGACGAGGGAATATTAATGGACAATTTGTGTTTTACAAAATTGATTAAATGCTCATCATGAATTATAAATAAGATTTAAGTCTCTTTATAATTTAGATATGAACTCACTAGATAAAGTTTTACACAATTTAAAGTTGAGTAAAATTAAATTAACTTTATATTTTTTCTTTATAGAATGAAAAATATAGTTACAAACTAAGATTTTAAGAATTCAGATCATACAAATGAAATTGGATTTGTATTTTTAAACATGGATAGATATTTGATCTTAAGAAGTAAATACAAAAATTTGATAACATTAAAAAATCTAAACAAATAAAGAAAATGTTGTTATCCACTATTGGCTAGAACAAGTACAGTGTTGGTCTTCCAACTGGATGAAATTGAAGAGACTAGTAGAGTGTGTGTGACATTTAATTACCAAGGGATATGATATTGACTATTGAGGGATAACTTTTGGGGGGGGGGCAAAATAGCCCATTACATACACTTCAGGTGGTTCATCTTTCTTTAGGATGAGTGTTGTTTATGTTCTGGATGTAAATTAAGAGAGTGTTTGGCAGTGCGCTACTTTTAGTAATTTAGCTTCTGCTTTGAGTGAAAGTGATTTTATTTTGTTTGGCATGTTGTCATCTTTTGCTTTTCACCACCACTATTTTATACACAGAACACCGTATTGGAGAAGCAGGTATATATGAAGTGCTTTTGCTTTCAGTTTTTGTGAAAATAACTTTATCTAGAAGTTAATTACTACCAAACAAACTCTTAAGTATGGTTCATCTTTCTTTAGGATGAGTGTTGTTTATGTTCTCGATGTAAATTAAGTATGATAAAAGTGCTTCAAATTTCCTGCAACAAGTGTTATTTTGATACTCTGTATATGTTTAATTTGGGTTTTGAACAATTCTTCATTTTCCCGTGTTATTTTCCATAATATTGGAATAAAACTTTTATCATGAAAATCTGTGTTCGGACTCACCGAGTATGAATGTATGAGTTTACTTTTTGGTACATCATTGCCTTTTTTGGGTTGTGCTATTGGTCTTATGTTATTGTTAAATGCCAACAAATTATAATGTGATTTTTGGGTTTATAGTTGTTTTATGTACTTTAGAACATAAAAATAGAATTGGTTTTTTTGTAAAAAAAAGTTGTTGTAAGTCAATAAAAAATGTGAGAAAATTTGCATTTAACGGCAAAGTTCCGTTGACACTGGCATTCATGCAATGTAGGGGCGAATCTAGTTCAATGGAGTAGGGGGGAATGCCCCCAAGTAGTTTTTTTTTTGTAATAAGGTAAGAAAAGAAAAAAATTAAAACCTTTAGGTATATATGCCCCAAAAAAATTAATGTGACCCCATCTAATTAGGCTAAATTTAAATTTTTTGTTAAATTTTTTTAGTAAAGTGTGTTTTATTGCATTATAATTATTTTTTATAAAACAATTTCACATAACCTATTAAAAATATTTTACATTCAATAAATGTTTGAAAATAAAATTTATTAGGTTTGTCATTTAAAATAGTCTACCAAAAAAATATGGCGTGCTACGCCCGGATAATGATGCCCCCATGTAGCTAAATTTCAGGCGCCACTGACGCAATAGATGACACTTGCCTATTTCGAGCACCTACGATGCTCCGTTTACAAAATTAATAGTTCTTACTCTTACTAACTCACCTCCTAAACCCTCACCGCACCCCCACCACCCCAAAACTCACCCTCGCGCCCCCAGCTTAGACCCCTTCAAATGTGTGGCTATTATGCAATACATAATAAACACATTTGGAAGGTGTAAAGGAGGATCTATGGTGGGAGTGCGAATGTAGAACTAGGGTGTGGAGCCTTAGAGATGGATTAGGAGATAGAAATTATTACTTTTTTTATTTAGAGCATCAGGGGTTTTCGAAATAGGCAAGTGTCATCGGTTAGAACGGCTCTATTGTCAAGCGTTCGTTCTAATATATGTGATGGCTTATTTTTGCAGTTACATAATCCATTTCTCCGTATTAATTACCGGTAGTATTTTAATTTTAAATGATTAATTTAAATTATCATTTTATTAGTTCATATTTTTATTATTATGGTTTCGCTTTGAAAATGTTTGCAACAAAATCTTGATTGAAAATTTTCATTTTTTTATTTTTAGCTTTGTAATTTTTTTTAAAAAAATTGTAACTTTAAGTTGGATATAAAATTTTAGAGTGCTTATATCATGCACTTTGAGTGCATATCATTTTTGTAGATCTTCTTACATAAAAACTCTTTTTTATTTTTATTTTTTAGTTTTTTTTAAAAAGTACATATTTAGGTAGTAAGGAATTACTTATTTGAGTCATATATAGATCTACCATGGGATTTGCCAAAATTTTAATATAACTAAAATTTCTGTGGCTTTAGTTTTATTGTTCGATATATAATTTTTTTGGTATAACTATATATAATATTTAAACCAGTCATGAATGTCCAAAATTATCTCTTCCCTTCCCTGAATACAAACGTATTAGCCATCACAGACTCCGAAAATCAAATTTGTAAATTTGTAATAAATTCACTATCAAATTACTTCTTTGCGTATTTCTTTCTTTTTGACATTCTACACGACTACACTGGCATATTTGTGCTTAGTCAGTGCCATGTTTGGCACTTTGCTTTCTTTTTTACCTTATACAGTGGCATATTTGTACTTATTCAGTATTATGGTTGGCATTATAGATTGTAATTGTTAGTATTATGTCTTCGATGACACTTTGTATAAAGAGTATTCTTTACTGTAGCGATGATGAGGGAGGAGGAACAATAAAAGAAGCAGCTTTGCTATTCTTTGCTGGGAAATTAAAAAAAATTCAAAAGAAATGGTTTTAAAAATTCTGGGTGGATTTTGGTTCAGACCAAGCAATTGGGCTAAAATATGAAGACTAAATAATTTATATAATAAAAAAAATCTGGATTTTTTTGTTCAGGTGGCGAGTGGAAGGCTTCAAAGAGAAGATATGATATCCTTGAATTGCCACATACTAGGGGAGGTCTTGTTAAGTTAATTACTTCTATTTAGGGGAGTTTATGTTTTAACTCCTATAATGGATCAAAATAGAAGTAAAAGAGATCTCATATACTAAAAAATAATTTCAAAAAGTAAGAAATTTTACTCCGTTAATATTGGCAACAATACTTCGTACATTTTAATGTTCCAATATGGCAACGCCTGGTATTATCATCCAATATACTACGTACATCAACATCATTTTATTATGGTATAATTATCATTATCATTCAAATATTCAATAACCATCCATACACAATATCATAATTATTGTAACACTCTAATCTTTTCCAGGTGTGCATGTCCTTTTGGACTAAAATATTAACTTGATAATCATAAAATTCAAAACATTCCAAACATTTTTATTCACCACAAAATAATATTAATAACAGAAATAGTATAAACTTTTCAATGTTGTAGAAGTTTAACAAATCACAGGATTCACAGTCTCAAAATTTAATTAATTAATTCATGTATTTTGAAATAACAGTTCAAAACCTTCACATCCATCATGACATTCTCGCCCCCGTCTGGTACCAGAATCACGTCACATCATTTTTTCTGTTTACCCGCGTGTAGCAAATACTACCTCCGTCCCAGAGTATTTGTCCACTTTCATTTTTACACACCATCCAATACACTTCTTTAATTCATTTTATCTTGTAATTTGTATATTAAAAAATTATAGAAATTATATATTACTCCGTAATAATTTATATGTTAAGACAAATCAAACAAGATTACACATTGAGAGAATTTGATGAGTCAAAGTGCTTAGATGAACAGTTCCAAAAGTCAGAATTGGACGAATACTCCGGGACAGAGGGAGTAAAACATACTACACGTTCAACGGTAAAAGCTGGTTAAGGATATCTAATGCATCAAACATCTACATAAGTTAAATTTCAATCCATAATCAAATCATTTGATATCATGCACATAATGTTAAATTCCGATATTCAATATTCATAATTTTTCTTTTAGATTTCAGAAAAAATTATATTTCAAATTTGATATCAAGTATATTGATTGAAAATAATTTTAATCGCAGACATTCAATACTGTTCTGTGTCTGTAATATCAATAAGACTGAGGTTAAAATGTGAGGTTAAAATATTGAGATTAGTCAAGCATAATCCTTTTATTATTCATCATAAACTACAATATGAAGATATACTAGTAAATTACCCCGTGCTTCGCACGGGCTCGGTTTACATGTATGCGTTTGTAATCTTGTGTGGTTTTCCTACCTTCAAATCTATTTGAGGAGATTTTTTGTTGTTGGATCGAGGTAGGTTGGGTTTTATCATTGTTTGATTTGTGTTTTTTTACATTCTTTAAACGTTTTTTCACAGTATAGCATATGTTTTTTATTAAATAGTTGAAGATGGAGCGTGTATACTTTTTACATTTGCCATAATTTATTATAACTATGTATGAAGTAGTTAACACAATCTTCCTTTTTTTTTTAACTTTGTAAAAATCAAATCGGTAATCTTATACATTTAGGGCAGAAGAAGTACATACATTTTTTGGTTTTATTTTTAGCGTGTAATGGAAAAGATAATTTTAACATTCAAATTAAATGACTCTGAAGTTAGAATATAAATTTTAACATAAATTTTTAAACAACTTTGGAGTTATAATATAAATTTTAACATTATTTGAATAAATTTATATGTTGAATTAAAAGATAATTTTGTTTTTTGTAATTTCCTAATAATTATATTGTTTGTGCTATATTAATATTTTAAAGTACTCCGGTATTAGATATGATGGTTTTTTTTATATCAAAGTTGTAGATTTAATAATGATTCACATGTATAAGAATCTTAAGAAACTTTTGGTTTTTAAAAGCAATAAAGGGAAAATGGTCAATTACTTTGTTTAAAAAGTTTATTTGAATTTGTTGGTTTTAAATTAATGAAGTTTATATAACCTTTATAGATAAATAAAATACTTATACATATTAATAGTGGTTGGGAAGGGATAATCTTACAACAAAAACCCCTACAACATTTCTTACCATACTATAATTGGGGTAGCTATGATGTTTCAGTTGAAAAATTAGCAATGGATTCATATTCAAGTGGAACCAAGCATATCAACACCTTAGGAGCACAAAACATCATGTAATTCATGTGAAAAAGTGTAGATTTTTTTTTTTTTAAAAAACATGAATAAATCTTGATTTTGAACATATAGTACTAAAATTTCACAAAAACAGCAAATGAAGCACAACGTTTAGTATCAATATGAACATAAATTCATAAACTCATCAACCCATTAAGCCTTGACTTCTTAAAAATTTAGCGCACACACTAACATTTTATAAATAATACATTATTTATTAATATGACTTCAAAAACAAAACAAAATCCTTTGCACTCTCAATATTAAACCAAGTTAACCAATGGAATCTGAGGACCATAGTTTGCTGCACTTTTGGAATGCATGTACTAAGATACACACACGCCTTTTACTAAGCTCGCATTTAAGACACCAGACCTTGTGTTCTAAAGATCAACAACATACCTTCCCTGATTTTTTGCAAAATAACATATACTCTTTGTCTTCATTGGCAGTCAAATGTACCAATTGCACCCTAATCAAATGCTAGGCTGCAAGCTTCATGAAATTATCCAATAATATCAGTGATGTTGTCACAGGCATAATTTTCAGTGTTTAGATTTGAATTAAAAAGAACAGATTAGGGAACAGAAATTCTTTGGTTGAAGAGAGACCAAAACCTCAAGAGCCTCTTTTGATTTGCGTTGTTCTTTATGGGATCCTCTTCATGAGTACTTTAGCTACAATAAAACTTTGGGTATATGCTGGCTTTTAAATACAGATTATTGGAGAAAGGAGAATTCAGAAATGGTAGACCTGCTTTTATATTATATCAAATTGCTGGTTTTGCCGATTTGATTATCGCCAAGGAACCTGAAGTGCATTGAAGGTTGAAGACTGAAGTGAGCAATCAAGGAAAACGACAATAACCGATATTTTGGATATGTATTTAATAAAATAAACCTGCTGATATTTATTTTCTAGTAGTATAATTTGATCACTGAAGTCAAGCCTAGTATCATTCGCCATCTTCTGAACCTATAGTCAAGGATATCTTTAGCTTGTCAGATAAAACAAACACAATTTAAAACCAATACGAAAATTGATATACACATGTGAGACATATAGTTAATAAAAGAAACATACATTAATTATCTTCTTCTGTAGGTCAATAAGTGGTTTCTCAAAGTTCAATATGATGGGCTTTGGCTTCTCTTTCAAGGGCTTGAATGGAGATGGATATCAAAGCACTCCTCCTTAACATCTGGATCAATTTCCTGTGGTTGTGGACATGGATAGTCATGTTTTTTGCTTCCTAAGCAATGTAGCAACTACAAAATCTCTATTATCAGATCCCAACCTTACCCTATCCGGGGCCTTAAATGGCACATCACAAACAAAATCTCATAGATATTTTTTCTCTGAGGAATGCCACACAAAAATATTAAACATAACAGATATTAGATAGTACACTGTTATAGCAAGTACATGTCGACAAAATATATCATGTTTGAACCATGTCTATATGTCATGAAAATTCGAAAAAGTTTCACATTGGTTGCTGAGACCTAACATAACCCTCCTCTTTTATCTGAGCTTGGGACCAGTAATGTAACATACTTACATAGGCAAAGTTACATAAGAACACAACCCAACCCAAAAACATAGTACATTAATGATAGAAATTTTCTCATTTTCGAAGATACAGGATGGAAATTATCCAGATTCTTGCAATTACACATCAAACCTAGAGCACACCTACAAATATAGGCACCTAAAATCATTCATTTCACTCTTAGGCCCCGTTTGGTACACGGAATTCAAACTATGGAATTGGAATTGAGGACTTTAATTCCAATTCTGGTGTTTGGTAGCACAAAAATTATGTGGATTTGGAATTAATAGTGCAAAAAATGAATTGCAATTCCATCAATTCCATATATCAAACGGACCCTCAAAGGAATACAACCAAGCTAACATTGCAAATAAGAAATGAGGATTTTAGCAGCTTGGGGTCAACCATCACCATCACATGCTTCTACATTACCACCCACTTGCAGTTACATTAAAAAAATCATTTTAGAATGTGATTCCAACATTTAACTCAAAGTTGGAAAAAATAGTTGGGAGGAACGATATGAATGCAGAATTAAACTAATGGATCAGCATCCATGTTTGCTTCATTTTATAATTTAAGACACCTAGCAAGAATTGAACAATGGCGAAAACTGAATCTTTGACAAATTTGAGACAAAAAATCTATAATATAGCACAATATGAATCAAGAATTGAACAATGAAAAAATCAAATCTTTAACACAATTCAAACAAAAATTTGTAAACATTCAATCTTTTACCATTTTCAACAGGAATACAATATTTTACCATTTTTCGCAGTGAATCACTCTGTGCAGATACCATAACTCCCTGTATTTCTGAAAACGAAGATTAAACTTTGTGGGAGGTAATATACATCGCTAGCGTTACAGAAAAAAATAATACACCACCAGCGTTACAGAAAAAAATAATTGTCCATCATGAAATCGTCGACTTCTGAATTCTCACCTGGGAAAACGGCTGAAATTGAAAGGCGCAGCAACTGGAAACCATGAACAGTGTCAGAGGAAGAGGAAGGGAGACGATAGATCGGAAGAAATCCCACAATGTATTGGCGTGGCATTTTTAGGAACACATAAGCAAAAAATAATCTACATCACCAGCCAACTCATTGTACACTTGTCATCTCCACAACTAATAAACCCTACTTTATATATAATATATATATATATATATATATATATATATATATATATATATATATATATATATGATGATGATGATATGATTTGGGACAAAAACGCTATTATTCTCTTCGACTAAAAAACTATGAAGAACACAAAAGAAGAATTATTCTCACATTTTTTTTCATTAAAAAAATTAGGTTTTTCTCTTCTCATTTTCTGTTAATAAAGTTTTTTTCATTACATAGATTATCTTTTTTACTAGCCCAACACAAAAAATTGTTTTCTTTATGGTCTTCCTGGCAAATTCTTTCTTAGTCTGAATGCTTATGTCATTTTATGGATTTTAGAGTATTTATATCATTAAAGAAATGATTTTTTTGAAAAAAAAAATCTATTTGCATGAAAATATAAGAAAATTTATTTTTCAAAATCAAAACTCTCATGTTTTTCGGGACGGAGGGAGTATATCTTAATCCCTTGAACTTGAAATTACATTAACATTTATCAAATATTTAAATATCAAGAAACACACTGGAAACAGGGAACAAAATAAATATTCAAATATTAAGAAACAAATCTTGAAATTGAATAATTAAAATTTACATATAACACCTAGATAATGAGAGAAAATCTAAATATTAGATGAAGAAGAAAAAGAGCTCAAGATTTGAATCCACCTCTGCCGACTGCCCTTCTGCCTTCTAGAGTTCTGCACATCTGCGATCTGGCGACTGCCCTTCGAGCTATAAGCCTCTTTTCTTTTCTTTTTCTGTTCAATTACTTCCATCCTTTTTCTTTTTTGGTGGCAATTGGGCCACTGGGCCTTGGACTGTTGGGCTTGGTCACAGGAAATTTTTAAACCCATTTTAAAGTTAACAAAACGACGTCGTTGTTTTATGTTCCTTTTCTCGGCAATTGCTTCTTCCTATCTTCACCTTCTTCATCGATCGGCTGCTGGAGTTCCATGGGATGCTGCGACAGATCTGGGGGGGCAAATCCGGCCTCCCATCGCCGATTTGGTACCCTAATACTATTTCGCCGGAATTTCGCCGGGGGCACTTGCCCAGGCATGCCCCCCCCCCTTCCTCCGCCCCTGATAGACGACTCTTCTTTCTAATCTTATTTTCTATTCTTTCTAGTTTTGATTTTTTATTAACCCCAAACCCCAAACATTGTTAGCGGCCCATCTCCATCACTAATTCGTAGCAAGCCAGCCCGGCCCGTCTCCAAGTCCAATAGATCTTCTCCCCGCGCCGATTATTTCCCGGTCGTCATCTCCGGCTTAGATGACTTCTTCTCTCGCATTCCGATCACATCATCGCATCTTCTTATCTATCACATTTCGCCGACCAGAAACCAATTTCTCCTCCGGGAATCACAATGGCTCCCTGGATTCAACAACCACGGCGGAATCCATCCGGATTCGCGATGTATTTGGCCCGTACCTAGCAGCATCGGATACTCTGTCCTTCTACAGAAATGAGTTGAAATCAGGCTTGAAATTCATTTTTCCTATGGCATTTACAAGGGTGGGACGCCATGGAAAACTGTGAAGCTCTTCAAGGAAATGAAGAAGAAAAGTGATTGAACTGAGTTTGGAACCAAACGTGGCAACATAATTATAAAGCTTTTGTGTGAAAATACATGAGGGTTGAGGATGCACACAAGGTGTTAGATGGAATGTGAGTTTTGAATGATGTCTTGAAAAGCCAAGCGAGGAGTTAAACGGAGGGTGGATACATGTGTGATGCTAATGAGTAAGTTTGGATCCATTTTCATATAGTGAATTGGCTGAAATTGTTCAATATCTTGTGGATATAAATCTTTTGGTTACATACATTGCAGCAAAATGAGTCAAAAAGTGCTTAGTTTGCTTGTTGTAAGTTGATTGTGGCCACTAGATAAAACAGGAAAACATAACCTGAGTTTTCTTTAGTACAATATTGAAGTTCATGTCGCAATATATTACATATAGTGCTAGAACACTATACAAGTAAACATATCTAGTGGAGAATAAGTGTAATGGGCTATTTTGCCTCCCCATCTGCATATGTATCAGTCCTTGGAAGACTCTAACCAATCAAGTTGCACAGGTTTTGAAGAAAAAGGACGAGTAGCACTTGGCTGCATCCAACAACAACTCAGTTGTTCTTTCGTCCCGAAAAGATCTTTTTTAGAAAAGTTGCTACCGAATGTCTTGAACAAACCCGTCTCAAGACAATAGAACACAATATATTGTTTGTGGAATCTTGGGAGGTAAATCTTGTTCTCCATCCCCTCTCTAACTTTCTTGCCCGCAAATGATGAACGCCCGCTAACAAACAACATGTATTCACCCAAACACTCCACTTTTTTCCATTCCATTTTGTCCCTCTCGTCCAATTCAAGGACACAAATGTGTTTCCCCATGTAAGACATATACACTGCCATTAACTTCCCTTCGCACTGCACCAAGTAGCTATCATAGGTCTTGCCAAGCTCGGGAGGTAGACCCGAAACCTCGTGAACTTTCCAAGTTCGCCCTTCGAAGTCGAACACCCTCAAGTTGCCTTCGATGCCCAAGACATACAACTTGCCATTGTGGAGAGCTGGAGCGCATTGGGATCTAAATCTTAAGTCGTTATCATTTACGTCATAGAAATCCTCCCAAGTCTCTTTGCGGCGACAGATGGTCAAAATATGATTCCAATCATCACTATCAAGACCGAAAACAACACAATCCGGAGAGGTTGGGTCGGACAAGAAGATTCCGCTCATATATATTTCCTTCGGTCTGTCGGGCAAGTCCACTCTCTCATTGGTAAAGGGGTTGACCAAGAAAGTTTCTTGAAATCCTTTGCAAAATAGAAGCCACCCGTTGTTGGAATGTGCCAAACTTGAAAGGGAGAGCTCGGGGATGTCGATGCAGTGTGGGCCGTGGCCGTAAACCGGGTGAAACAACTTCAACACGGTGCTAGTGTAAGTGTCTTTGTGAACAAGCCATTGAGATTGTACAACGGGAAAGGCGAGGGGGTTGTGGTCCTTAGGATCTTCAAGTGAGTCCCAAGTTTTGCAGACTTTGTGAAAGCTTTTGGCATCATCAAGACAGAGGTGTTGTAATATTTGTGTCAAAAGCTCTCTTGGAAGACTTTCCCATGCCCTATAATGGTTCCCATCAACTTCTTCTTCTTCCTGCTCTTTGTCCTTCCAAATCCTCCATGTTCACATAATCTTCCATCTAACAACGCCAAAGAACACTCAAATCTCAATGAGAAAAAGGTGTGTTAAAACACACTTCAATCCTGTATGTTGCACATATTTTTCAAATAATCTCATCCAACTTGCGAAGCCCATACACGACAGTAACAAAACCAAATAAAACCACCAACAGTGTGTGTGTGTGTGTGTGTGTGTTTACTGGACTGGAATTGGCATAGGCACAAATCGATTTTAATGAGGACTTATTTCTTCACATAAACACATTATTGCATGTATACATCTATACATGAGTTTGGATTGATATATATGAAATTAATTAGCCGGGGGGGGGGAGTGTATATACTCTACCTCGAAAGAAGAAATTGATTTTGCCTCAGATATCCGAATGAAAGATGAATAAGAAGGTTATACCTTTTTAATTTCCAAGCTCACTTTTATCTTTGGCAATGGGGAACTATATATAGAGGAATTGATTAGCTACTCCGTATTAAATATGGGGGTACAGTATTAGTATTAGTAATTAATTGATCAAAAAGTTGGAAATAGGCAGCTTCCTCTTTCTCTCCAAATCACAAGAGGAATTCATCTCTACCTTCCAAAATTCTAATTATATATGATGGTATTTAGTAATTAGTACCTCTTTTCATCCTAAAATTAACTTAGTATTTTGATTTTCGCGGTCAATGTTTTTGAACTTTGACCCCATATTACGGAAAATCAAGCATAGTTTTGTAATACTCCCTATGTCCCGAATTAATTTTCTTGATTAGTTTGGCACAAACTAAAAAAAATGAAATTAGTGAGTCTGAGTCACAAAAAGATTTCCAAAATAGAGAGTCACAAAAAACTAAAATAAGAGTAAAACATTAAGAATATATAAAAATAAGAGTTCTATGTTTTTATTTTTGAAATAGGGTTTAAATTACATCTCATTGCCAATCACAACCATATACATTACAAAAAAATATATAAAATATTCATATATAGCACCAAATTATCACAGTGCGAATTCTTATTTGGAGAATAAAAATATGAAATTATTATTTTGGTACTTTCTCTATATATGTTTATCCCTATTGGGGGAATTTCTTTTTTTTTGGACATCGCGAATAAGAAATCAAAAAGATTAATTTGAAAATAATGGAGTATAAGATATTTTTGGGCTTTTTTCTGAAGAGGTACCTAACTTTGCGTCTTGTAACAAAAAGATACCTCATAATCAACTTCTAACAAAAATGTACCCATCTTTAAAAAATGTAACAAAAGGGTACCCTTGCCGGAATTTTAAGAATACGGTCGATGAGTACATAGTGGGCGGTCTACTTGGCTTCTTAGTGTACATGCGACATTCTATATGACTTCCAAATTAACTTGAAATTTTTTCTATACATGATCAACTTTGTACTTGACACATATAAAATAAAGTTTATTTTTTAAAAAAAATTATATTTTATTTATACAATATCATTTTTAATATTTATAAAATATGTTAAATCAAACTAGCAATTACTTTTTAAATAAGTGTCGCTTTTGTAATTTAAAGAACAGAGTTTCTAATTTATTTAAATTTTAAAATATTTACAATCTTTTGGAGTTAGAATTTTAATAGATAAATAAACACAATGTTGTATGAACGTCTTTTGTAAAAAAATACTTAGATATTATATAAAAACTCATTACAAGTATCAACAATACTCGATAATGATGATGATGATAGTCGTAGTAGTAGTAATAATAATAATGATAAGTAATTTTTAAAATTTAAAATTTAAAAAATTTCTAATAAATCTTTAAA